ACACTCCACTCACTACAACTACAGCAACAACTACAACTACAACTTCAACTACAAGACATTACATAACACCACGCGACACTACACCACAACTACAACTACAACTTCACGACACTAAGTGACACTAATTGCATCACACAACACACTACACACTACACGACACACTACACACTACACACTACACACTACACACTTTACACTTTACACTTTACACTACACACTACACACTACACACTTTACACTTTACACTTTACACTACACACTACACACTACACACTACACTATACACCACACTACACTACATTACACTACACTAATTGCATTTCACTACGCCAAACTACACCACGCTACACCACACCACACCACACCACACTCAATTACACTACACTACACTACACTACCCCACCCCACATTACATTACATTAATTACATTACACTAGACTCATTACACCACCACATGCAACTGCAACTACACTACACTACTTACACTACACCACAGCTACAACTCCACTACACTACACTACAACTACAACTACAGCTGCACTACACCACACTACATCCAGCAGTTGTGGGTGAGGTGACCGACCAGGTGACCACGGCAACCATTGCAACCATTTAAAAAAAAAAAACACAGCTCCAACCGCCTTTCGGTCCATCAGTGGATTCGCTCTGCCATCCGTGATTCACAACAACCGATCTCTCGTATAGGTGTCCTATTTTTGAAACTTCCGCCACCGCCGTGTGCGGTACTACTGGTACAACATCTGGGACTGTCACATGTCCCACCTTTGACTAAATCTGACAGAGGGACCTGCGCATGTTAAGTGCTTCAAGTGTCCACATCAGTGCAAACATGAAGATGGAGGGATATTTTATTGGGTCATTCCTCAGCAAAACCACCTCATTTCATGGACGTTCACGGATTTGCTTAAGCCCGGCCCCAAAGAGAAAACGCGACTTATCTCCAGCTCTTTCCGCACACATGGTGGGCTAAGCCCATGCGGAATGACATACAAATCATATCATAAAGCAAACAATCACCAACCAATACTTCTGAGCAGGGTAACATTCCCCACGCATCAATGTTGATCCATGAACAGCCACCATCCCATGTCTCAACACGTCTCAACATCTCCCAGCCCAGCGGCAGGTAGTGTCTGGTGATCCGTGTCAGGCGGTCCTCCCAAATAATCCCCCGGGAGCTTCCTCAGTCATGATGCAGTCAACACGTTTCCGCTCCCAAGAATATTCATCAGCATTGATAAGCCAGTTGCAATTATATACTGCAGTAAGTGGGGAGTCAACCCGAAGTATGACAGTAAATTGGGGATTGTACAGTAATCCCAAATCAGACTGAAATAGCTTGACCACCTTTGGGGTCCACCAGCAAAAAGGTCTGCTTTTATGGCATTTTTAGCAGCCACAAAGCAACCCTCAATGATGATCATTTCAGTGGCCCTGCAGACATAGATAGCACCTGGCAAGGTGCTGCCCCCCAGTCATAAACTGCTTAAGCCTCATTAACAAGTGCAATATATCTTGCATAAGTTTGCTAAGTGCACTGAGTTCAACATCCATAATTCACGAAAAAAATACAGTAAGCCTATTGACACTGATCAGTTAGATTCTAAAACCCATGCACGCTAGTGATAGATCTACTAGAAACTTCCAGAAACCATAGAAACCACCTAGTTTTTATCACCTTAGTGATTTAGCTCGCTCGCTGGGGCACCACCTTTGCCCGGTGCAAGTTTAGGCAACACATGGCAACAGGAAACATGGCGATGAAGAGAATCGTGGGAATCCTTGATGGTTCTGGGGTGCTGTTCCATGTCATGGAGTAATGTGGAATGATGTGATATACTGTAAGATAAGGATCGCATGGATCCAACTCGGGCGAGGTCACATTTTGCATCTTTGACGACAACACAACAGGGGGGCAAATACCCACCAACAGCAGTATCAACCAAAGGTCAAACGAACAACGTGGTTGATGAATCTAAGGGTGTGCCGTTCGTTTTGGGACTTGGCTTATATTGTTGGGAGCTGAAAAGGCACTGACTGAGTCTCAGTGGTAGGAGTCACTGAAACTATTGGCTATCACAGTCCAGAAACCTGGAAAACCTCATTGGTCATTCCTTGGGCCATACGTCTCCTGTTTTCCGGTAATGACATGTGGCAGCGGAATACCATCCATTTATAGCCACGTTTGACTGCCGGGGGATTGGAGGATCAACCGCTAGTCGCACAGCGCGAGTTTCGTTTGGGATACATGGTGAAGAATTGCAGTGCCATATCCGCTAGAAAAATCCCATCGACACCTGAGCTGCGCATAGGGAGGGAGCTTGGAACCAGGGAACACTTGCGACGTCTTGCGACGTCTTGCGCGCTGTAGGTTCACCAAAAATGTCAGATGATACAAAGGTGATCCCCCCGAATAGTAAGGGTTTATAGGCGGGCTTAGTGGCCACCAACAAGGATGGTTCATCTATCATAGTTGCTTCAGGCGCTTCTTTGGCATCTTTTGCGATTCGGGTGGGGGTCAAAATGGAAGCCCTATGGGACCAGAGACTTTAGTATATGCTTAGTATTACCATCGCATGATCAATGGGAATTTCAAGATCCTAAAATGGAGGTATTGTACCATATAAGACCATATTTTGGGGGGATATTCCCTTACATAGGCCTTACATAGGCCTTATATATGGTAGGTACCTCCAATCAATCGGTTCCTGGAATGGCCGCCATTGACATGATGACCATGGGGCACCATGGTAAATGCAGCCGCAGCTGCAAAGGCTCAGGATCAGCAAACTATCCAGGCGGATTGGAAAAAGGCCCACCTGCCACAGCCAAGCATAACATCACCTCCCGTCAGTGTAAAAGACAGTGACACTCTACATGGGTACCATCTGGTAAACTAATATAGCTTTGAAAAATCATCATTTTAAATATGTAAGTCAACTATAAACGGTGATGTTCAATGGTTATGTTAACCAAAGAATGTGTATATATATATATATGTGTATTTTTTTAAAAAAAAAAAACGTGTTTTTTGAGATTTTGATACGCTGTGCATGCAAACATTAATACGTATACATATAGGTATACATATGTATATATATATATTACATAGCTATATATGTAAATATGCAAATTATATGTGCACATATATATATATATATATTCATACGCGTTTGTATTATATATATATGCACCATTTGTGCATACATTTCCACTACTGTTTTCGAATAGTAATGTGCAAACACACACATATATATATATGATGTTTATATGAAAAATGTGAACGCAGAACATGACACAAAAGTGCATAACTACATAGCATTGCAAAACACGACGTAGCATATCACAAATCATGCTGTATCAAGTATATTTAACTACACCATCTTACATTATGCGTGCGAAACATATGAATATGAAACATGTAAGATGTATATCAACGGATTGGTTTAAAGGAAAGCCCCACAGGAAACCATGGATTTTCCAATGCAATTCCTGGAAAGGTTCGCCTGGATCGGAGTCACGAATGCTACGAAGACCATCGCTGCGAAAGTGAGAAACTGCCAGTAGGTGGCATACCTCCGGAGATTGCCATGGTGAATTTCTCCGGTTTGATGTCAATGATATCAACCATATTCAACCGTATGTCCAAATATGTCCAAATGATATCAAATGATGCTGTGTGAATGGTGTCAACCCGAAAGTTACGAGCACTGTCAGAATCAATCCATTTCAATGGATGAAGATAGACACAGCAACAAGGCTGGAAGGATTTTGGAAGAAGTGTAAAACTCAAAACAAGAGCAGCAATTAGTCACAGTAATGACATTACCTTGGAGAAAACCGTGCTTCAGTTCATGTGCCGTTTACTTCTAGAATTGCAGTGCAATCATGTCCGGTTGAAAACAAAAGGGCCCAGATTGGCATGTGATTTGCCATAAAGCTTACATATTTCTAGCTTTCAGTTGGTCAATGGCGACCCGTGGGATTACCTCTTGGGTTGATCAAGCAAGGGGGAAAAGGACATCATGATAGGGAGGCAAATCAACACCAATTGATTTCATTTATCTTTTAAACCGTGGACTACATATCCAAATATTTGGTATCATTTTATATATATATGCTATTTTCTATCTATATATCTTCAAATCATGCCCCTGGAATGCTTAAAAACAAGCCAGGTAAAATCAACACAGCTGCCGTTGATCGGGTGTGCTGGAGATGAACCTTTTCAAAAAAAACAAAAACATGAAGTGGAGCGCCCCATTACCTACTATTTACAATCAAGAATATTTAATATAGTTTAATAGTATATATTATAATTATAACTTATAACATATTAATTACATATATCATATATATAATATACTATGCATACACATCTCACATGACTATATCTGTCCACACTGTATACAAAACAACTGAAGAGTTCATCAACCATCATCAACCATCATTTCTGAAAGTCGTGGATCGCCAAGCTGCTTGCTGCTCTCTGGGTTGATCACCTCAGCCGAGTTTCACAGCACACCCTAAGGCTATGGGGATTTCATCGAAACATGTTCGAAAGTCCATGTTTTTTTGTTGGGCGTGAAAATAGATGTACATATATGTAAATAGTGCTCGAAAAAACTGAGATCACCACTGTGCCGTCATTTGCTTGGCAAAAAAAAACATGAAAAACTATGCTTAATTAATTTCACATACAATTTTTTGTGGTGGGAAATGATGATTTTGGCAGGCTGGTAGGATCATCTCGAGTGGGAAATGAAACATGGCAAGAAAACCAATTGGTATTTTCCATGGAGTTACCATGGAAATCCTAATTTTAGCTATGGAACATCACCATGTGTACCAGGATTTCCCCTCACTGGGCCATGGCTTCCAGTTGCCAGGCCCGCCGGGCCACGTACCAAGGTTTCTTCCATTGGAAATGCCTCGTCTTCTCTTCACGCATGGCTATCAGTGTGAGGCGCCTGGGGAATGGGACCCGGAAACCCCACTGTTCATTGAAGGAGGTACCATTTTGATAGCAGCACTGAATAATCATTGGAGGATATCTGTTCGAAAGAAACCAGTGATCAGTAATTAGTGTTTTGAACAATCTGAAACCATTGTTCTTTGAATTCGGACATGCTGATCTTTGTTAGAGCATGTTAGAGCTAGCCAATTTTTATATTTTTTCTGTTTACCAACAGAAAGGTCAAATGATGGTTTTTACTGGGTTTTACTGAACTTGCTATATGCCTGTATGCAGTCCATATTCTGTGGATACACAATGCTTTCTCGCAACGCAATTCCCTTGGTATCATGTCGGGGGGTGCTTGGATCCATGGGAATAGAACCCGCAATAGAACACCCCACTGGCTGGTATAATCATGACGGAAACCGTCCTTCCTAACACAGGACCACAGGGCCTAAGATCCCACCTCTGCTGGTCGATGTTCATGGCCACTTGACCTGCCTCGGTTGTGCTGTCAGCTGTGGATGTCATTAAAGTTTGGTAGGGATGCACCTAAAACAAAATGATGGAAAATGGAACAGGGTAGTTTGATGATGTATTTCTCCGTCATTTCTAGGTTTGTAACCGTGTAACCGACTTTTCGGAATCTTGCGGGGTTGCCTTGGGGAAGGTTACGGACCTCTGAGATGACCACCGGAACGACTCGAAATGACCATGTGTGCTTGTATGTTTGCGTGATTGTGTGCATCAATGTGAAAAATATATATTTATTGATAATATTTAAACATGTATATGCATGTATTCAAATTTCAACATATATATATATATATACACATGTATGTGCGTACGTAAGTAGGTATCTATGTGTGTGTACGTGTGTATGTATGAATATGTATGTATGTATGTATGTATGTATGTAAGTATGTATGTATGTATGTACGTACGTATGTATGCATGCATGCATTCATGCATGGATGTGTGCATGTATGTATGTATGTATGTATGTATGTATTTATGTTTGTATCTATCTATTTATCTATCTATCTACCTATCTATGTATGTATGTATGTATCTATGTATGTATGTATGTATGTATGTATGTATGTGTATGTATATGTAAATGTATATGTATATGTATATGTATATGTATGTATGTATGTATGTATGTATGTATGTATGCATGTATGTATGTATGTATGCTGTATGTTGTGTATTTGTGTGTGTCTGGATGGATGGGTGGATGGATGGATGGATGTACGAACGTATGTTTGCACATATGTGAATATAATTGTAAATGTTTATTGATTCATGAATATATATGTAAGTATATATGTATATATATACTGTATACAGATTTATATATATATATAGACTATAGATATTTATGAAGTGTACATATATAGATATAGATGTGTGTATAAATATACATGCATATCTAAATATATTAAATGCATGTGCAAATACATGCCATGTAATGATGGTGATGATGATGATTTGCTTTTCCCACGTAATGCTTATAACATGGCAAAAATCCGGGGCACGGTGCGGGGCACCGAGGGTGGCACGGTCAGGGGTGGAGATCAAAAAAGTTGGTGCTTGACCGCTCAAAAACTAGGACATCTGGTGCTTGGGATAGCTCAGTAGCGCGGTCTAATGCATGTCACAACTTGGAGATGATTCGTGGGTAGTGTTGAAGTACATCCTGGCAGAAGTTAGTACCCAGGTACTAACCAGGAATCGACCTGACAGTTGCGCCAAGCATTATAGACGCCAAACCGTTTCGGTGACACTTACGATAAGCATTATAATTCTGCAATGCTTAGCATAACTGTTCCAGGATTCCTGGGTAGTACCTGGGCAGTGTCTGGGTAGTCCTGGGAAGTCCTGGGCAATCCTGGGCGGTTCTGGGTTAAGAATCTGATAGCCGAACCCCTTATGGTCAAAGGAACCCAAACTTGGACATTGCAAAAGTCAAATTCTATTTCCACAGCACTTTAGGTCCAGAACCATGAAAGAACATAGAATTAGCGCCCAGGAACCCAGAATTAGCGCCCAGGAACCCAGAATATGATTTTCACGTTATAAGCATTACATGGGTCAATCAAATGATGATGATGATGGTGATATACAAATACCCTAGCCGTAGGGTTCTCTACCAGTCAGATGGAATCAGGGCTTCTGATCACCATTGTTCCTACTTGCCTCCGATTGCTGGGATGATTGCCGGCAAAAAAAAAAAGTTTCTGGCGTTTGAACATGCTTCTGCAGGGTACGGTGTTGAGAGGATGTGGGTCGCAACCGAAAGTCATGTCAACCATAACAAGGTAGTGCCCAGTCCGGAATCACCAAGTTGGTTGACAAAAATTGGTTTAATGTTGACGATTTAGGGAAGATATAGCTACAATCTGATGCATCTACTTGCAGCGTTCATTCATGCAAGGTGCATTCATGCAAGGTGGTGCAGTTACCAGTTCTAAGTTGGTTTATAACACCCATTAAGTATACACATATTCTAGGTAAATTACAACAATTCACTAACCCTGGATCTGCAATAAGGTGATTTTGGAATGATTCCCTATACCAACCGTGAGGTCACAGTGAGGTCACAATAATTGACCCAGCAAAAAAATACTATCCAAACAAACATTTTGGTTAAATCAACAATGACAAGCATCACAACAGGGTCTCTACAGACTTTCGGCCGAACTTTCTGCAAGTCTCCGGCGTTTGCTTCAGCTGCTTCACGGGCAGATGGCGTACGTTGTCACCCAAGTCCACCGTCTCCTGATTGGAATCATGAAGCCTACTACAATTACAATCTACGTCAATGAAAAACATTTTTTTGCCGGGGCTTCTCAGAGGGTCAATGAAAAACAATGGAAACCCGAATGGTTTCCTGCAAAGACATGATCCACAAATGGTCATCTTACTGCTCTATCATGTTGCTGAACGGTATTGTCTTTGCCATTTGGCTGGTACTGAGAAATTACACAATGTCTTCACCTCGTCTTCATTGATGGCCCTGCACTTTACCGGTTCTCTTTCCATGCTGTAGGTCCTACACTAAGCCCAGGCATCACTTTATTTCATCATCTTGTGCTAGTCATTGAAATGCCAATGAGCCACAATCGCACATGCATCCGAAATTTTACTTGTACTAGCGCACAACTACCGCACAAGGCGCTGGCGGAAGTTTCAAAGGCAGGACACTATAGGAGAAGTGAGTTGTTGTGAGTTGTGATGCATGGATGGCAGAGGAAATCCACTGATGGACCGAACGGTGGTTGGAGTTGTGCTTTTTGGAATGGTTGCAGCGCATGGTCACCTCAACCACAACTGTTGAACGTAGCGTGGTGAAGTGTAGTGCAAAATACCTGCAGTTGTAGTTTTAGTTGTAGTTGTATTGTGGTGTAGTTGTAGCTATAGCTGTTGTAGTTGTAATCTTGTAGATGTACTTGTAGCTGTAGCAGTTGTAGTTGTAGTAGTTGTAGTTGTAGTTGTAGCCGTAGTTGTAGTATAGTGGTAGCAGAGTTGTATATAATGAGTTGTAGTTGTGGTTGTGGTTGTAGTTCTTGTGTAGTGTAGCGAAGTGTAGTGTTGTGTAGTGGTAGTGAAGTGGTAGCGCAGTGGCACTGTAGTGGTAGTGTAATGTGGCGAAGTGGAGTGTAGTGCAGTGTAGTGTAGTGGAGTGTAGTGGAGTGGTAGCGCAGTGGCACTGTAGTGGTAGTGTAATGTGGTGAAGTGGAGTGTAGTGCAGTGTAGTGGAGTGTAGTGGAGTGGAGTGTAGTGGAGTTGTAGCTGTAGCTGTAGCTGTAGTTGTAGCTTTAATTGTAGCGCAGTGGAGTCTAGTGGAGTGGAGCGTGGTGTTGTGGAATTGTAGTTGCAGTTGTAGGTGCAGATGTGGGCGTAGTGGTACTGTAGAGGTATATAGTGTAGTGGTAGCGTACCGGTAGTGTAGTGGAGGTGTAGTTGTAGTTGTAGTTGGCTGTGGTTATTGCTGTTGTAGTTCTGGCTGTAGTTGCTGTAGTTGCCGTAGCTGCGGTAGTTGCTGTAGCTGCTGTAGTTGCTGTAGCTGCTGCTGCTGCTGTTGCTGCTGTTGCTGCTGCTGTTGCTGCTGTTGCCGCTGCTGCTACCGCTGCCGCTGCCGCTGCCGCCAGCAGCAGCAGGAGGAGTAGTAGCAGTAGTAGCAGTAGCGGTAGTAGTAGTAGCAGTAGTAGCAGTAGCAGTAGCAGTAGCAGTAGCAGTAGGAGTAGGAGTAGGAGTAGGAGTAGTAGTAGTAGTACTAGTAGTACTAGTAGTACTAGTAGTACTAGTAGTACTAGTAGTACTAGTAGTACTAGTAGTAGAAGCGGTGGTAGTGGTAGCGGAAGTGGTAGTGGTAGCGGAAGTGGTAGTGGTTGTTGTTGCTGTTGTTGTTGTTATTGCTGTTGCTGTTGCTGTTGTTGTTGTTGTTGCTGCTGTTGTTGTTGTTGTTGCTGTTGTTGTTGTTGCTGTTGTTGGCATGTAGTGTGGTGTGGTTGAACATCCAAAAGTGGTCCGAACGTGGTGTGCTTTGCACATTTTGACTTTGAAATGTGCTTCGCGGCACAACAGCGTGCACTTTTTGAACATCTCAACCTCCAAAAGTGGCCCAGACCATCAGTTTTGAACACTGTTGACTTCGAAATGTGCTTCGCGCCACATCACCGTGCACGTTTTTGACCTCTCAACTTCCAAAAGTGCTCCGACACCGCGGTGTTTTGTATATTTTGATTTCCACATGCGCTTCGTGCAACAACGCCGTGCGCTTTTTCAACATCTCAACGTCCGAAAGTGCTCAAAACCTGAGGTGCTTTGTGCATGTTTACTTCGACATGTGCCTCGCGCAACAACGGCATGCACTTTTTCGACATCTCAACTTCCAAAACTGCTCCGAGGATGTGGCTTCTAGCATTTTGACTTGACCATGTGCTTGGCTCCACAACAGCGTGCAATTTTTCATCCCTCATCTCCCCAGATGGCTCCTGCACCCGCCGCTTTAGCGACCACAAACATCAAACACAATGTTTCGCGACTTTTCTACATTTTCGTGCGCATGCATCTTCTTTCTTCTGATTCTTTCTCTTCTCTGATCTTTCTTTTTCTCTTCGCTTCCCTGACTCTTTCCACCTCTGCTTTTCCATCTGTCCATATTGTCTGAAGTTTGAATTTGACTTCAAAGCTTCCTTCGATAACCACTTCACGGGATATCACCTATTTCTCAGAGGCAATTTGTTGCACCCATCGTCTTGGGGGGAAATTAGTCGCATTCATACTTGCCAATGCTTGCACCAATCCGTCTCAACATCTTCATCGGTCACCAGTTTAGTAGTTGGCAGTACCTACGTGGGTACGCACCTACCTACGTATGTAGGTATGTAGGTATGTAGGTATGTAGGTATGTAGCTATGTAGCTATGTAGCTATGTAGGTATGCAGGTATGTAGGTATGTAGGTATCAATGTACGAAGATATGTCGGTATGCAGGTATGATACCCTCAACTACTACCTAGGGACCCTGAAGCTTCATTTTAGACCCCCAACCCCCCTGGTCTAAAATAAATGTCCTGAGTCCTTAGTAATCACCTTGGCCTTTTTGGAAAAATCTACTTAACCATCCTCGACCTTTTGGGGGTTCCAAACTTTTGGGTCTAAAGTGAAGTTCTCGGCGCTTACATATGGAGCTACCAAGATACAACATATGAATACGTATGAACAAGTTTGGAATATATAGGGTATGAGATAAGAGATTTGACAAGCACATGTTACAATATGAAGCCAAAGGCAAAAAAAACAGCAGAACAAATGGGGGTTGTTCAAACATATGGCTTTGGCATGTTTTGGCATGGAAGGGCAATATCATTTGAGACTCTCCCCCTGATATTTTCTCAACTTGGTGTGAGTGCCTCATGAAATTTATGAGAAGATTAGGGTCTCTGAAACTTTATGTCAGCTGAGGGCCATTTAGATTTTATGTTAGTATATATTATATTTTTGGTACCACTGTGCGCTTCCATTTTGGAAGCACTGTGCATTGGCTGAAAAAGTATCAAATTCGAAATGTTCCATAGGGGGTTCCCAAGCTCCAGGGGTCTAATTCGGTTTTCTTGCCGCCTAGGTGGTGGAAATTCTTGACATTGAAACGGCAATATCATTTCAGACCCTTCCCCTAAAAACTTTATATAATTGGTTCAACTATGCTTTGGGGAAAGTTGACACATCGGTTGAAATTGGTTCCAAAAAAATGCCGGCTATTGAAGGTGCACCCCATCCAGACTCTGGTTGATAATTTCGTGCTAAATGAACACAAACACAAAAGTCAAGGCCACTCACACATGTACAAATTAAATCTACATAATCAGCAACTACATGCAACATACACATATAATCAAATATCTGATGCCCATAAGTACAATTGACAATGATATGCATAGCAAGTCAAGGGGTCTAAAATGATGGTCTAAAATGATACCCTCCACCAAAGTAGACCCTTTGATGGCTGGTCCCCGGGCCCAAGCATTCTAGACCCTGAGTACTTGAGGGTATCAGGTATGTAGGTATGTAGGCATGTATGTATGTAGGGAGGTATGTATGTACGTATGAATTTGTGTAATTGCGTGTCATTGCGTGTAATTGTGTGCGCGTTTTTTTTGTGTAATTGTGTGCAATTGCATGTCATTGTACGCACTTGTATGTAAATGCATGTTTTCGAATAGTTTACGCAATTTCATGCAATTGCCCGAAAAAAAAGGTATGTATGTTGTATGAACGTATGATCAATGAACTTTGTGAAAAACATGTCTCTGGATGTCTCTGGTTTGACTTCAACAAAAACCGCCAAGAAAAACGGAAAAATCTCCCATCCCGTCCGCTCCTCATAGACGTTCACGCGGTTCGCCTCGGTCCATGTGGAAGAGCACTGTAGCTGCTGGAAGCTGTCCGCCGGCGTTAGCCGCTCTCCTGGCACTGAATCGTAAGACAGCCTATACGGAAGGCTGGTTGATCGGCCGCTATTAAATGTATGCATATCATATATATATATATATCTATATTATATACCTGGACAGTCCTTGAACCGCATAATTTTCGATCTTTGTGGATTTTCAGGTGCGGGCTTAAACATCACTTTTAGGCTAAGAGTGATAGATTCAATGACACAGTTTTGGTGTCAAAAAGTTGGTCTTTCGCGTCTTTTCTGCGTCATTTTGCGTCATATTTTTGGTCCTTCCAAATTTGATTGACAGAGGGCAAAATCAGCATTTGTTCGATTTTTGGTCGCTCACTACTTCTCAGTTCAACCAAAAAAAATGCAGTTTTTGGATGCTTTGTTTATCTATTTATCTATTTACACTTTATGTATGTGCGTGTAAATAAATATAAATATATATATATACAGATATAGATATACATATATGTGTGTTTGCATCTGATCAAACGACTATATTATCCAAAATTTTGGCTGCTTCAGCATGGGCCACACCGATCCGCAGGTTGTCAAAATCAAAAAAACAAAAAGGAGTGTTTCCTAAAATTGGCTGCATGTAAGAACCAGGTTATTATTAACCCATTTAATTTGAAAGGAAACTTGGGGCCTGCCACGACTCAGGAAAACCTCAGCACGACTTGGGAAATTTAAACCTCTCGCATCCCAGTTTCGGATGAAATCCCCAAGCTGGGCTTGAAAATAAGCAACTTCCAAATTTGGTGGTTTTATTTTTATTTTTTAAACTCAACTATAGTGAACAATAACTGGTGGTAAAGTCCCAAGGTTTTTTTTCTCAGTGAAAACAATGCCATTTGGAGCCAGGGTGTGCACCATTGGACCCACCAGTCCCTGTCCAGCTGTCCTTCGACCTCGCGGATTTCGAGAGTTTGCCCGGAGTCAAAATGCAACATCTTCCTCGAAAGCGAGGCGCAAACAAGGAAAAATAAAAGGGGTTGTGATACTTATGTGAATAGTTGTCCATTTAATTTAATATACATATTATGTAATCATCTATATATTTCTATCTTTGTCTACCTACATAGCTAAATCTAAATCTAGCTATATGCATCTAGAGTTTTGAAAAAATGCATATATCAATCTAAATCTATCTATATCTACCTGTACCTATGTATGTTTGTATATCTGAAAAAAAACTATCTATCTCTATCTCTAACGACCTATCTGCCTATCAATCAATCTATCTATCTATCTATCTATCTAACTATCTATCTATCTATCTAATCTAAGCTAGTCTAATCTAATCTAATCGAATCTAATCCATCTATCTATTTATCTATCTATCTATCTATCTATCTGTTTATCCATCTATCTATCTCTCTACCTATCTGTCTATCTAACCTAAGCTAATCTAATCTAATCCATCTATCTAACTATCCATCTATCTATCCAACTATCTATCTATCTAACTATCTAATCTAAGCTAGTCTAATCTAATCTAATCAAATCTGATCCATCTATCTATTTATCTATCTATCTATATCTCTATCTCTCTATCTCTCTATCTCTCTATCTCTCTATCTCTCTATCTCTCTATCTATCTATCTATCTATATCTCTATCTCTCTATCTCTCTATCTCTCTATCTCTCTTTCTCTCTATCTATCTATCTATTTATCTATCTATCTATCTATCTATCTATCTATCTATCTATCTAATCTATCTATCTATCGTATCTATCTTATCTACCTTATCTATCTTATCTATCTTATCTATATTATCTATCTTATCTATCTTATCTATCTTATCTATCTTTTTTAACTTATCTATCATATCTACCTTAATTATCTTATCTATCTTATCTATCTAATCTAACCTAATCTAATCGAATCTAATCTAATCTATCTACCTACCTACCTATCTATCTAGCTATCGATCTATCTATCTATCTATCTATCCTATCGTTCTTTCCTATCTACCCTATCGATCCTATCTTTCCAATCAATCTATTTATCTATCTTATCTTATCTTACCTAATCTAATCTTATCGGTGGATCTATCTATCTATCTATCTATCTATCTATCTATCTATCTATCTATCTATCTATCTACGTATATCTAGATATGTCTATCTCTCTGTCTATCTATTTCTATACTATATTTCTCTATCTATCTATCTATCTACCTACCTTCCTATTAATCTTTCTATCTTCATCAATGTGTATACTCATCGATCTATCTCTATCTACCTATATGGATCTCTATCTCTATCTATCTCTATCTCCATCTCATCTCCATCTATATATCTTGTTGCCGGCGAGAATTCACTTCGATAAATCCCCAACTTTCATATTCTAACTGCCAGTCCCAGCTAGTACAAAACCACAACCTATTTATTTTCATCTATCCCTGTATACCCCTGTGAATATAAACATGTCTCTGCCTATCCTTATCTATCTCTATCCGTCTTGATCTATCTATATCTAGCTATACCTATGTATTACTATCTATATTTAAAATCATTTATCTATATGTATCTGAAGTTCAGAAGCTATCTATACCCATGCAAATCTAGCTATATCCATAGATTGCTCTATCTATCTATCGGTCGATCTATCTATATGCTATCTATCTATCAATATATGTTTCTATGTACACATGTTCTATGTATAAAGATATTTATGAATATATATATATATACAATGTATATATATAATGTGGGATGCCGATTAGTATGAGGATGCACTATTGTGACAAGTTTTCCCAAAATAATTCTGAATCTGTGGAATTGATTGGGCGGTCCACTATAGTGTCAAGGCTTTGTTTTTTCAATTATCCTGTTTTTTGAAAACATTTTCCATGTTTTCAGGTTTTGAAGCTTTTTTCAGCAACTTTACTTTCTATTTTTTAACATTTTTGAAATTAATTAATTCATTAACTAATTCATTCTGTAATTAATTGATGCATATGTGTTTGTTGTGGTGGTCCTCTATTGTGTCCAGCTGTTGTCTGAAGAAGCATTTTTTTTAAGGTTGTGACCCATCAGCAATATATAGGATGCCTTATTAAAACCCCATTGAAAAAAAAGCATCTAAACAATTTTGCAAGAGTAGCATGTTTGTTGTGGGGGTCCTCTATTGTGTCCAGCTGTTGCCTGAGGTGACAAATTGTCAAGCATTCCTTTTACCTTTTCCTTTGCTAAAGTTTTTTCTTTTACTTTCTTAGTTCCATTCTTTTGGAATTCTCAGACATGTATAATTTCCCAAAATATATGATGCCTTATTAAAACCACCACCACCCCAAACAAAAAACAAAAAAACAACCATCAAACATTTTTTCAAGGGGGTAATCCATGAGCAACATTGATCCTCAATAGTATGTTTGTAGTGAGGGCTCTCTATTGTGTTCAGCTTGTTTTTGATGCGTTTTTTTTTTCCAAAATCCTTCTCTCCTTTCCTTTCCCTTTCCTTTGCTAAAGTTTTTCTCGTTTTACTTTCTTAATTCCATTCTTTTGGAATTATCAAAATGTCTAATTTCTGAAAATATAGGATGCCTTATTTAAAAAAACATCAAAAACATCACCCACACATTTTTTCAAGGGGGTAATCCATGAGCAACATTGATCCTCAATAGTATGTTTGCTGGGGGTTCTCTATTGTGTTCAGCTTGTTTTTGATGCGTTTTTTTTTCCCAAAATCCTTCTCTCCTTTCCTTTCCCTTTCCTTTGCTATTTTTTTTCTCTTTTTACTTTCTTAGCTCCATTCTTTTGGATTTCTCAAAATGTCTAATTTTCCAAAATATAGGAGGTCTTATGAAAACACCATTAAAAAACAACACTCAAACATGTTTTCATGGCGGTAGCCTATGAGCAACCCTGATCTTCAACAGTATGTTTGTTGTGGGGTCCTTTATTGTGTCCAGCTTTTTTTGTTTTTTTACAAAATCAGTTTCTCCTTTCCCTTGCTATAGCTTATATCTCTTACTTAGTTCAATTCTCCTGGCATCCTCTCCTTGGTTTCTATGGTGTTTCTATGGGATTTTTAAAACAATTTCTATATATGGGAATTGGATATAATTTCTATGGTGTCTCTATGAAATTCTATGGATTTCGATTGTGTTTCTAAAGGTGTGTCTATGGTAGCTCTATGGGATTCCTATGGGGTTTCAAAAAGATGTCTATGGGATTTCCTTTGGATTCCTATGGGGTTTCTGTGGTATTTCTATCATATTTCTATGGGATTTCTTTGGGATGTCCATGAAATATATTTCTTTTGGGTTTCTATGATATGTCTATGAGGTGACTATCGGGTTAAAAAATAAAAAAACTATGGGAATTCTATAGGGTGTCCATGAAGTTTCTTTTGAATTTCTATGGTGGTTCTGTGATATGTCTATGGGGATTCTATTGGATTCCTGTGGGATTTCCATGGTATTTCTATGATACTTCTTTGGGACTACTATTGGATCTATTGGATTTCTATGGGGTGTCGATGGCATTTCTATGGGGTTCCTATGGGGTTTCAAAAGGATGTCTATGGAATTTCCATTGGATCCCTATGTGATTTCCATGATGTTTCTATGATATTTCTAGAAGATTTCTATGGGATGTCTGAAGGGATGCTATGGGAATTCTATGGTGTTCTCATGGGAATTCTCTGTGGTTTCTATGCTATGTCCATGTTATTTCTATGATCTTTCTATGGGATTTCTGTGGGATTTTCATGATATTTCTATGATATTTCTATGGGATTACTATGGGATGTCAATTGAAAGTAAGTTGAAATCAATTGAAAATAAAGTCAAACTAAATTGAAACCAATTGAAAATCAATTGAAAGTAAGTTGACATCAACTGAATTTCAATTGAACAAAAATTGAAATCAATTGCAAGTAAGTCGAAACCAATTGAAAATTATTTGAACGTAAATTGAAAATAAAACTAAATCTATTGAAAGTAAATTGAAACCAGTTGAAAGTAATTAAATTGAAATCAAGTAAAAGTACATTGAAATCAGTTGAAAGTAAATTGAAATCAATCGAAATAAATCAAATGAAAGATATTGAAAGTAAATTGAAATCAGTTGAAAGTAATTAAATTGAAGCCAATTGAAATCAAATTGAAAGTAAATTGAAATCAATTGATACCATTTTATTGAGGACCTTGCACTTTACAAAAAAAACGCCCTCAAGTGGATCCAAAAATTGTTGGAGGGGCGGGCCGACGCTAATCAGCATCCAACATTATCAAAGTATCCATATCTGAATATCCAAGAATCTATATATATATATATATATATATAATTTTCTATGTAAAAAATCTATACAACTAAATATCTGTATCATTAAATCATTGTATCATTTCAGTGTATATCTATATATATCTATATCTATCCCGCTAGCTATTCACATGTGTGTACGTCGTGTGAACCTTTGTCTTTACTTGCTGGAGATATGTTGTTATCTTTAATTGAACTTTTTTTAGCGTATGATTGCAAATGCATATGCACGCGTTCTTGTGATATATCATGGAACATTCATGTGCATATACCCCACCGGGAATACTTCAGAAGAAATTGATTATCCTGTGACGAACTGCCGTCATCTCTTTCTCTGTGGTATGGCATATTTAGCAGCGCTTACCCAACAAAAAACTTGTCGAATGCAGGTGAATGTACCATACATGCAGCAAATGGGTCCCACTGGTATTCCGACAAGGTGGCTTGTTTATAAACACAATCAGTCCGCTCCGCCTAAAACTACCCATTAAGCTTGGTTTACTTCATGTTTGAGGGGCCGTACAAGCGGTAGTCAACAGTAAAGGGTGGGGTTGATTGTACCTTCAGCGCTGAAACAGCCTGGTTTCGGCTTGCTCTCGGGTTTGCTGCTGGGCCTGCAAACATGTCGCGTGGCTGTCTTCCCCAATTGGCGAAGTGAAACCAGGGTTTTGAGACCACCGATCGGCTAAGTTCAAACTTGTTCTATACAATGTTTTCATCGTTTCATATTTTTGATTCATTATTGAAACGCTGTTTGCATGCGTTTGCAGCATGCTGGGCTGGGTAGTCGTGTACACACCAAACAAAAATTGAAATAATCATCATGCTGAACTGCATCATTTAAAATACATGTTTTGCATGTGTATATATATATGTAATATAAATTAATTTACGTACACGCACATGCATATATATATTAATATATATATATAGGTACAAATATATCATGACATTCTTTCAGAATAGTAATGATTACCAGTTATAATCCGATTATATTTATAATGATTTTTTGGTCAAACATATCACAAATGGGCCTGTCGTCCGCGGCCGAACCCGCCGCCGCAGTGGTCGCGACGTCGTGTTCACACAGCTCAAGCTGCACCGGCGTGGACGACTCCGGCCAGTCCGTTTCCAAACCTCAGGGGCCAACAGATGGGGTTGAAACCACTGCTAGAACCTCAGGCACACAAAATGACACAAACAAAATGATATGCAAAACCCAGCAAAACCCTTGGTTTCGCAAGGAAGTTTCGGAAGGAAATCCTCTACAACTGCTGGATTTTGCATACCTACGCGCCTATCGTGTTTCATTGTAAGGTATAGTTTTTTTGTCTTAAATTGTTTTTTTCAGCGGTGTGGATCTAGCCAGGTTCCAAATGATGCAGCTGCCTGGGGCAGCTGAAGGGATTTGTCGGGATCCCAGGCCATACTGATCCCTTAATTATGACCTTTATGAACCACCAAAAACGAGCTATGGTTGCATCTAAACCTGTCCTCCATCAAAATGGCGAGCAAAACGTGACATATGCATCCTTAGCAATAGCTGAAACATAGAATGTACGGAGGTTCCTAAAACGGGGTAGCCCCAATTCATCTAGTAGGATTTTCCATTATACACCCCTGTTTTAGGAAACCCTACTTAATCCAAAGGAATACGAAATCTTCAATGACCCAGTGGCTTTTCAGCGCCGTGGATTGCCGATCCAGCTCCGCAATCAGTTGCTGAAGAATCTCCCGAAGCCGATCCTGGGGAAGACTACGCCGAGGGGATATGGCATGAAATATATGCCCAAGTCAAGTCATCCATATGAATATGTATATATAATATATATAATTAAAATTAATTAAATAAATATATATATATAATTATACGTATTTACATGATGATGCATGTATATCCCCAAGTCATCGGACTTTTTAATAGAGGAAATTTGAAAATGTTTCGTACCAGTAGTACCGCACAAGGCGGTGGCGGAAGACTCTAAAATAAAAAACTATAAGAGAGGTGAGTTGTTGTGATGCACGGATGGCAGACCGAACCGAGATCGAAAGGTGGTGGGGGCTCTGAGTTATCTATTTGTCTACTTGACTATCTGTCTTTCTATCTTTCTATCTATCTACCTATCTATCTATCTAACTATCTGTCTATCTATCTATCTATCTGTCTATCTATCCATCCATCCATCTATCCGTCTGTGTGCTGTTCTACCTATCTATCTATCTATCTGTCTGTCTGTCTATCTATCGATCTATCTGTCTGTCTGTCTATCGATCTATCTCTCTATCTGTCCTTCTATCCATCAATCCATCCATCCATCCATCTAGCTGTCTACTTGCCTGCCTATCTGTCTATCTTTTTTATGTTTGTATCTTTCTATCTACCTATCCATCTATCTTTCTATCTATCTATCTACCTATCTTTGTGTCTATCTCGCTAGCTAACTGTGTGTCTACCTGTCCATGTGTCTTTCTGTCTCACTATCTATCTATCTCTCCATCTGACTATCTGACTATCTATCTCTGTCTATCTGTCTATTTCTTTCTATCTGTCTATCTATCTACCTTCCTATCTTACAGGAAGCATTTGTGCAAGACTTCCATCAAAAGTGGAAGTTGACACGTCCAAAACGAAATTTCCCTATCGGTAATTGGTGGGGGGGGGTGGGACCCTGGTTTAATTTCTTTAATTAAACGGGGTCCCCTGCAGTATGGTTTTTTCCAAAATTTTTCAGTCAAACATAACCTCCGTTTATTTTTAACATAAGAAATTAATCCAGAAAACTTCCAGTTAAGGTCCCACCCAGCATCCCCCAGCTAAAAATTAAACAAGCTACTCGGCAGTACCTGGTTTAATTTTACAGGATCATTGGGTTGATTTTGTTTTGCCAAGACCAAATATTAAACCACCTGGTTCTACACATGCCAGTGAGACTTGGTGTAAAAACAGTTGCGCCCACCATTTCTCCCCCCAGGTGCGTGGACCAACTCAACTTTCTCAAAATTAAACCCCATGGTTTAATTTCAGCTGTTTTAGCTCATTGTGCTGCCTCGTGTTCCGCCTCGGGATACTGCAGCCATGGTTCCTGACACGTGTCCTAGCACAGCTCCGTGAAGACGATCCGGCGTGGACAGCAAGGTTCTTGCACAGTTGGGAACAGCATTGCTGCAGCCCAAATGCTCCATCTCAAGCAGAGCAAGTCCATGGGAAAGGCGCTGCGGGACCATGGTAAACTGTTTCTATCTGTTTCGGGCCCCTTGCGTGATCCCAGATCAGGTCAGAATAATTAATCAAGGGGTGGGTGAGTCCATACGTACTGAACATTCATTCATCAGGACACCTTTGGCACCATAATATTCATGGGATTTATGGTCACCAGAATAATTAAACAAGGGGTGGGTGAGTCCACATGTACTGGGCATTCAGGATCAGTTCTTCCATTGGGGCACCCCCAACACCATAATATCATACAATATCCATGGCATTGATGGTCACCAGAATAATTAAACAAGGGGTGGATAAGTCCACATGTTCTTGGCATTCATAAAGATTCATGTATTGGGATACCTTTGGTGTTATCATGATTCATTGTTTTTTCTTGAATTTTCATCTTTGGTCATCACAAAGGAAGGAACCTGATGGAATCTCATTGGACTTGCTACTTTCGAATTATTTTGACACCTGTATCTCACCAATCTCTCTCCACCATGCAAGAAGGAGGCAAATGAGCAACCTTCAATGAGAGAGATTGGTGAGATACAGGTGTCAAAATAATTCGAAAGTAGCAAGTCCAATGAGATTCCATCAGGTTCCTTCCTTTGTGATGACCAAAGATGAAAATTCAAGAAAAAACAATGAATCATGATAACACCAAAGGTATCCCAATACATGAATCTTTATGAATGCCAAGAACATGTGGACTTATCCACCCCTTGTTTAATTATTCTGGTGACCATCAATGCCATGGATATTGTATGATATTATGGTGTTGGGGGTGCCCCAATGGAAGAACTGATCCTGAATGCCCAGTACATGTGGACTCACCCACCCCTTGTTTAATTATTCTGGTGACCATAAATCCCATGAATATTATGGTGCCAAAGGTGTCCTGATGAATGAATGTTCAGTACGTATGGACTCACCCACCCCTTGATTAATTATTCTGACCTGATCTGGGATCACGCAAGGGGCCCGAAACAGATAGAAACAGTTTACCATGGTCCCGCAGCGCCTTTCCCATGGACTTGCTCTGCTTGAGATGGAGCATTTGGGCTGCAGCAATGCTGTTCCCAACTGTGCAAGAACCTTGCTGTCCACGCCGGATCGTCTTCACGGAGCTGTGCTAGGACACGTGTCAGGAACCATGGCTGCAGTATCCCGAGGCGGAACACGAGGCAGCACAATGAGCTAAAACAGCTGAAATTAAACCATGGGGTGGGTCACATCTCAAAATTAAACCAACTCAACTTTCTTCAGGATCTTAAGGAGGTGGGTGGACCCCCTGTTTTCGTAAGATTTTTTAAATTAAACCAAAAAAATTAAACCTAACTCAGTGTCCACCTGGTTTAATTTAGCTAGTGCATCCCACATAAAACGAAGCAATTCTGCAAGACTTCCTCGAACTAGTATAGGTTCTGAGATGTTTGATCCGGAGCGAAGGTGATTTGTACAGTTTGACTTCGACATGTGCTTCGCGCCACAACGGTGTGCACTTGTTTGTCATCTCAACTTTCAAAAGTGCTCCGAGAAGGGTGTGCTTTGTACGTTTTGACTTCGAAATGTGCTTCGCGCCACAACGGCGTGCATTTTTTCATCTTTCATCTGGCCAGATGGCTCCGCACCCGCCGCTTGAGCGAGCCTACTTTTCGACCCTCCGCAGCCACAAAACATTTGAAAAACCTAGTGTTTCCCGATTTTTCTACCTTTTTGCGCACCTTGCTCTTCTTTCTGCTGACTCTTTCTCTTCTCTGATTGCTCTCACCACTGTTGCTGCATCTGTCCATATAAGTCGGAAATTTGACTTCAAATAACCTTTCTTTGAATATGCAAAGGGTTTTCTATTTGGGCACATGAAAATACAATAACCAATTCCCGCAATCATATAGAAATATCTTTAATTATTGATATTATTTAATGTTCCCCATGGCTGGGCCCCCCAAAATAAATAGATCCATACTGAAACATGGCGTTTGAAATAAGTGTTAAACGAGATTAATGCAACAATCAGAAAGAAACCAAGAAATGGTGATTATATATGTTGATTCTTGTTGTATCATTCATACCTCCCAGTTGAAACATATTCGCCCTGCAAGGTCATTCGGGGTTTTGGTTCTGAACATGTCCATCCAAAAACACATCATCACTATTCCGTGATTTAGACGTTATCTACCAGTTCCCCACTCATCTGTGTGATGAGCTTGGTCAGTGGCTCAGGTATCCCAATCCCAAATGGAGGACAGCATCATGAAAAGAAATGGCTTGTGGTCCAATTTGTAACCGTTTCGATTATCGTGTATCATGTTGTTATTCCATCCTTTTTGAACTCTCCCATTGAGAGTTATCGTTATCGATGTTCATTCATCGACCAGTCGATTAATGGGACACCTGGGCTAAGATTTAAAGCAATAGATAGTCCTGTAAAGGTCTAGTCAAAGCCAGAGCCGAAAAATCATTGAGGGTTTCAAGTGTTTCCCTCATTGGATTGGATTATCAGGGTTTTTTTTACAGGACAAACCCTACTACATTATTACTACAGTAAAAACTAAACCATGGCTTTTGGTTATCAATCCAATGCTTTCCAAGAACAAACACCAGCCGCGCTATGTTTACATTTTGCATCATCATTTTCTCAAAGGCAGATCATCCATAGGATCAACTAATAGGTATATCGGGTATATCATCAAATTATATATATATATATACATACACATGATCTAATATCTAAGTTGCTCACTACTACTATCAACATGGGCCATTTTTCGATAGCAAACGGTTATTACCAGAGGCATCCAGCTCGGGCTGCACATTCTGAGGCTAGGACGCCGTTCCATGATGGCTATGTCACTGTTACTGTGGCCGGTGGTTGAACCACCCATTTGAAAAAAAGGTCAACTCGGATCATCATCCAGTGTCAGGGTGGGCGGATTGACACATAAAACATGATTGAAACAATGATAGGTGCTCAAAACATTCAAGGATTTCCCCAAATGGGAGATCCCAAAACCATCCAAGTGTTGTGTCTTGGGGTTTCCCCAATGGCAACCATATCTTGAGAAACCTCCATTTGTAGCGACCAAACCAAACCAGCTTGAACTTACTTACGAATCCAACATGTTGTGCGTGTGCGCTTTCCGAAAAAAGACTCCACCTTAGATGTTCACAAGTCCACACGTGTAACGACTAGACCTTGAAATTCGCATCACAAAGAGCCATCTCCACAATGGGATGGTCAGCCTTCGGTGCAGCTCCAGCGCTTCAACTATGACATAGTTTTGTTGAGGGGGTTATCCGAAAAAACCCAACTTATGGGGCCACAGCCCCATGAAAAACTGATCCCGAGGGATCATACTCAGCATCTACGCAATCAAACATGGCAATGGGAAAGCCACGATATATAGATGATGCTCTCACTCAGACCTCTAAAAAAATCGAGGGCTTTGCATTGCTGTGTTTGATTGCCAATCACTCACCATCATTTTAAGGGACACATCGAGTGACATTCAAAGAGCTTTCTGGCAACGACATGGCATCGGAGACAAAGATCAAAAGGGGTCAAGATCCGAGTAACCCGGATTGAGCCATCGCTGAGCGGGACGGCTGCTAAGGTTATTTTCAGCAAACAAATAATATATTGCTAGCATTTATGCACATATATAATACAGGATAATATATATATATATGTTATAAATAATATGGGTGTGTGCGTCCGTGCCATATTCAAAGCATTATATATATGTATATATCATACGGACAATGATGATAGTTTAATCTATTTTTATCACATTATACTATATAGACATACTGCACAAACTGAACACATGGGATGGTTTCTGACTTTATGATGGTTGATGATGTGTTTGAAATGGTGTGCACGTGTGTGCCGTTTTAGTATACCAAAAGAAGAACCCCACAGTGGCAAATCCATGTTGGTGGTTTCAAGGTCTGATTATTCTTACTTCAGGCACCCAAAAAAAGATCAGTTCATGTTGGACAGAGATACTTCGACTTGGCACTGGAAAGATTGTCCTGCTGTCCATGTTTGACATCTCCTGGTTGGAGTTCGTGATGTGATATATTAGTGGGTATCCCATTCTCTGGGGGCATGGCTTAAAGCAAACCAAAGTCGCACTTAAGTTTGTGAATCGCGGGCAGCTTATTGATTCCATATATTCCATGCTAATATCAAACACCCCCCTCTATGGTGGCAAAGATATCAAAGATTAGTGTTTTTTTATTTGCTTACTAGACCCCTTTGTTTCTGGTGGTGTTTAATATAGGGGCACAAAACCACACCATCCTGTGAAGTTCACAACTTTGCTGCCCTCAGAGCATCCTGTGGCAAAACAGTTGGTCGTTGGGACCGTTGGGACTTGACACCTCCAAAGCACACACACATAACCTGAATGGACTTCCAAGATCGAGAAAGTCTGCAGTCTTGAAAATTATACTAGCACATAAAAATTAGTCCTTTCACTTGCACTGCTTTGAAGTTTCAATCTTTCAACAGGAGTGCCTTCCACAAGAGCTCAGGTTTTTGCGCCTTGGAAGTACTTGAAGTATCGTGGACCTGCTTCAATTCTGAAGCATGGCCGTTAGAAACAAACACGCACATCAATTGTTCGCAGCTGGCCTTCTGCCACCTTGAAAAATTGGATATGGGGTCAACGGCTCCCCGTGGGAAGGTTTTATCCATGCACAATACCTGAATAGATAATGCGTTCTTGCTATGCTCTGTGAATAAACATTGTATAAATACAGAATACATACATACCATACCATACCATTACATTGCATTACATTGCATTACATTGCATTACATTACGTTACGTTACGTTACATTTCATTACGTTACATTACATTACATACAGATATACATATACATATATATATATATCGTTAAAATTGATTGAATTCGGCTAGTAACCCTACAGTAACTCGCCCATGCTAACTCTATTGCCCATGAAAAACCTATGTGATTCAAAGAGTGCCTTTCCCGAACAGCTTGCAAATCATGCTTCAAGACAGGTCGCTTAAGACATATCCATCCCTTGCAACATTGGACGGACTGCGCTATGTCCCATCAAAGAATTCGATGATCATCAGGCAATACATACAGTGCGTAAACACGTGCAAACAGTCATGTAATTCTCCACTGTGGCAGCGCCATGATTCTCTCAAAATGATTCCAGGGGAGTCGTGCTCCGGCTGGTCTTCAAAAAGGAACATGTGGCTGTCAGCGTTCATCGGCACCCACCATCAACAGGGGGGGCTTCTGAGCTAGTGGCTTTATGCTTCATTTCTGCAATTTGTTCCGATGTATAAGAATCAAAGACACATAAGGAAACTTAACCCTATTAAACAAGTTGAAAATCAAACCATGTATATTACTATCTTCTTGGGGTTACAATATATCACATAGAAAGCTAACTACAGTAAACAATAGTTCTTGGGGGGTTGTAACCAATGGAAAGGGGTATATACTAAACCCCTAAATAATAAGCAACAAGTTTGATGGGTGAGTGGCCACCCTGACATATCGACCCTCTGATAATGACTAACAGTTTCCAACGGAAATAGCCTTTTTTACGGAAAATCATCGAAGCTAATTTTCACCATGGTTTCCATTATGTTGGTTTGCTTAGGGTTGCAATCACCCTTCGTTGCAGCCCATGGGTCAAAAATAGGAGACCCCAAGCCGTGCTGAACTGAGCCACGTATCCCGCCCCGGTCAGGTTCAGGAATGGCTAAGCCATTCCCAACCAATGAAAACAGTGTTCTAACCCCTCCGTGTTCAACCAGAAATCGTCATAGTTTGCATAATTCCAAATCTAAATCGGGTGCAAATCTTGAATTCTAATGCCATCCAACAACTTATCAAGGATATGATCTTTGTCACTGTTCGACACGTCAATGGCCAGCATCCTCCTCCTCTGTCCACAGGACACCTGGAAAATGTCGCTTTCAGGAACGATTGGCTAGATGCTGTTGATAAAATCTAAAAACCAATGGTCACTCTCAGTGAACTAGCTCTCAACAAACAACTAACAAGCTTGAACGCAACTAATTAGACAATATTGAATGTCTACAGTGACTACAGTATTGGTCAAATCAATCAATCGATTGACTCCTACTTACCCCCCGGCTACGGGCAAATATCAACCCACACCTAAATAGTTAGAACGAGCAATCAACACAGAAGGTCGTCATTTACTCGATGTCCGTTCTGGGACAAAAATCCCTAGATCCCCGTCGTATCCATTAATATTATCTGTCTATAGGCCTAAGCCCATCATACCCCTATTCTGTCCCGACTTTGCTCTTATATAATATCATCATGACACATGGATTATCTGATTATCCCTGATTATCCGCTTCAGCGAAATCTGTTGACAAAAATCAATTTTGGATAATTATACCAAACACTTTCCAGAGTTTCCAGTTGCATCCTTAAAAAATCTTCAGTAAACAGAGGCATATACATCAATAAACATCAACATTTATCATCGTTTATCAAAATTTCTCATCCATGGACATCCATTTATCATTGATCATCCTGCAACCCCAAATCGCTTCGTCCGGCGCCTGGGACGTGCGACACGGAAAAGACCCCCAGCTCGTCGATGGAGGGCGGCGCCACCATGCGCTCCGACACAGCGTGGGGAAGCAAAGATCGGGCCCGTCCTCGGTGGAGATACGGTGGATGCTTGCGAAATCCAAATCACCAGTTGATAGGTGGTAAACATCCCATGGGTTTCAACCATCTGGTAATGCAGGATTTCGCAACCATCCACTACCTCACAAAAGAATATGTATATAGTATTATATAGTAAAGAAAAGACGTCATATATAGTGATATTGCAATTTAAATTATATAAAACATACAGTATAACTATTTTTTTGTCAGGGCTTCGCGAAGGATTTGTATATAACTATATGTTCATACATGGTATACATGGAAACAGCCGTCATACCCGAGCATAGGCACAGAAATCCGTCATCTTCCCATTGTGATTCGGTTTTTAGTGGCTCCACATGGAACCAAGTGTTGGCGATAAAGGAGAGCTCCACTTTTCATCGTGGGTAATTTTGGATACCGTGTTTCAAATGAAAAAATCTACCCCTTTGATGGCAAAGGATTTACATTATTTACAAAATTACTTTCCTTCGTGTGATCCCCACCACGACATTTATACATTTTGTTACTGGCAAATCTTCTGGCATTCTATCTGACATATCTTCTGGCATTACTTCTGGCATATCTTCTGGCATTCTATCTGACATATCTTCTGGCATTACTTCTGGCATATCTTCTGGCATTCTATCTGGCATTCTATCTGGCATATCTTCTGGCATATGTTCTGGCATATCTTCTGGCATTCTATCTGGCATTCTATCTGGCATATGTTCTGGCATATCTTCTGGCATTCTATCTGGCATTCTATCTGGCATATGTTCTGGCATATCTTCTGGCATTCTATCTGGCATATCTTCTGGCATATCTTCTAGCATATGTTCTGGCATATCTTCTGGCATATCTTCTGGCATATCTTCTGGCATATCTTCTGGCATTCTATCTGGCATTCTATCTGGCATATCTTCTGGCATTACTTCTGGCATATCTTCTGGCATTCTATCTGGCATATCTTCTGGCATATGTTCTGGCATATCTTCTGGCATTCTATCTGGCATTCTATCTGGCATATCTTATGGCATTTTATCTGGCATATCTTCTGGCATTCTATCTGACATTCTATCTGGGATATCTTCTGGCATCTTGAGATACCTATCTACTGACAACTCCGAAATTGTTCATACTGATGTGATTCACATCAGGATACATTAGGGCCACATATATATAGCTTTGCTGGAAAGAACAGCAGGGTGGCCCTAAGAACAAGGAGACACGGGCTGATGTCACCGTGGCCAGCCAAACGCCAGCGAGCAAAAAAAGGGCCGGCAACTGGCTGCACTGCCTGAACATGTGCCAGGAATGCAAACAGGCGGCTCATTAGCTCCAACATCGCCCTTCAGCGAGATTCACTTCGTGAATCAAAGGGGAGCAAGAAAAGGCACCGGGGGCTCAGCTCAGCGGGTTGTGGAGGAAGTGAAAGTGCAGGGAGCATTCAGCAGATGGGGCGGAGGCTAAGGCAGGCTAAGGCTTCTATCTGGCTGTTGAGGTCCAGCGGTGCTCACTGAGCTCGGAGGGCCCCAGGTTGAGGTCCAGCGGTGCTCACTGAGCTCGGAGGGTCCCAGGTTGAGGTCCAGCGGTGCTCACTGAGCTCGGAGGGTCCCAGGTTGAGGTCCAGCGGTGCTCACTGGGCTGGGAAGGTCCCAGGTTGAGGTCCAGCAGTGCTCACTGAGCTCGGAGGGTCCCAGGTTGAGGTCCAGCGGTGCTCACTGAGCTCGGACGTTGGCGAAGAGCTTGGCGAAGAGCTTGGCGAAGAGTTGGCGAAGAGCTTGGCGAAGAGTTGGCGAAGAGCTTGGCGGAGGAGAAGGCGGAGGAGGACGAGGACGAGGACGACGAGGAGAGCTAGCCGAGAACAGCTCTGATAAAATCTAACAACCCTCACCTGGCAGGTGGGGAATAAATAAATAAATAAATAAA